CTTCCTCCTCTCTTACTGCTGCTTTCAAACTCTGCCATTTTCCCACTGTTTCTCAGTCGCAGCAGAAAATACAGAGTATGCTTATGTTTTCAGTATGATGCTGTGTGTCCCTTTCACAACTTGGAATTTAGCTCTTGTTGATTGAAGATGTTATTATTATTTTTAATTTGAGGTTATAACAGCTCAGTACAATAGCGTGACCCACGCCGTCGTTAATTAAATAATACAGATGAAAAGACTAAGTTTAATTAATCGCATTCACTATATTATTGGCCAAACTCTGTTACCCTCACTCCTGTATTAAAAGTTTTGTATTAATGGAGTAAATTTTAACTTGTAGTTTACAAAGTTTAAACTATGATTTAGCTAAAATTGTTTTTTAAAATTGGGGAATTTTGATAGCGGGGAAGGAATATTGGATGTTTCTCTGACTCATCAGATCTATTAATTATATGCTACTATACATGCACACGTGTTTTAGAGTTGTTTAGTTAAATCAAACTTAATTAGGAGTTTGAAACAAAAATTCCATTTTTCTATGTTGAACCTAAATTTTAAATAAATTTTAAATTATAGTGTATTTTCATTTATGTCGTTGCATGGATATAAATATATTGCGAGAGTCACTTCATGCAAACCCTATAAATCATGCCTGAATTCTAAATATTACCATCAGTCATATGCTAAAGTGAATTACGCAAGCAATTCCAATTTACAATGTTTCATATTGTTAGTCATTTTAGGCAATTGACAAAACGAAAGAAAAAAGAAATCTCTATTCTTTGATACATAAAAGATCTCTATATTTAAAAAAAAAAAAATCAAACTTATAAATTGTGATTAGAAACGGTATTTAACCATTGGAATATAACGTGTTCTATTACAAAAGGAAAAGACATTTAAGCTATTAAAAGAAAGTGCCATTTATTAAATGCGACTAGAAGGGATAAAAGACGCAATTGAACATCACTTGTCACACGCATGTTGTAGTCAAAATGATAATCATTTGTTCCACATAGTGATTTCAGGTAATTCTCATGCTGGGTTGAAATCCATTCACTGTGAATCCTCCATCAACACAAATAGCTTGTCCAGTGATGTAAGAAGCACCAGGCAAGCAAAGGAAAGTCACCAACGATGACACTTCTTCAGGTTCTGCTATACGCTTGATTGGAGTACGAGACATAATTTCATCCACAAGCTTTTGGTTTTTCAACAACTACCAAAAAAGAATAGATGAAACACATTGACAACATTCCAACAAAGAGAAAATGCCAGTAATGAACTCTTTTAACACTCTTCGTATTCTACTTCTTTTAGTGGAATAAATAAGTATTACTATTTAACTGCATGATGTCTAGTTGTGTTCTAATTTCAAAGTAAACCAAAAATATAATTGAACTAGTTCAAAATATCTGCCACACTCTACCCCTGGTTCAAACTTCAATTGCCAAAACAATGAATAGAATAATTTTCTTGCACTACTTCATTGTCTCAATGTAATAGACATACATAATTTCCTAGCGGAAAAAATACAAAATTCTGCTAGGATAGATTGGCTGTGATATTTTTGACTTCCAAATCTACCTTATAGCGTGCTTAGCAGTACTTAATATAATGGTAAGTCAAGAATTTCAAGAAAAAGCAAAATTAAACACAACCAAATACACAAGTGTTAACTTTATGTTAGACACACCAGGAAATACTTGATAGCCAAAGTAATTCAATTATTCATGAATCCACAAGCAGATCTTATATAGATTTAAAAGGGTTCACTATGTTGGTTTAGACAGTTCAGTATTATGTAAACTGGTGTTCTGATATTAGGAGTCGACAGTATATGACAGTCAAGAGGCATAAAAATAGGGAACAAGTAAATTACATGTTCTACATGCGGGGTTCTGGTAGCCCATGGTACAACACAGTTGCTTCTTATGTTGTCTTTTGCCCATTCACAAGCCAGATTTTTTGTAAGCTGATTAATGGCAGCTGAAAATACAGTGAACCAAAAATATAAATATCTTTGTTTGTGACAAAATTTTGATAATCGCATGCTAATGAAAGAAAATACCTGATAGTAGTACTCACCTTTACTTGCTGCATAGACAGCTCCAGTTCCCAAGCTGACCATACCAGCAACAGATGAAATGAACACAATGCTTCCCTTTCCAGATGCTTTCAGAAGAGGATATGCAAGTTGGCACAGATGGAATGCGGAGTCTAAATTAACTGTCATCAGCTGTGAATATTCTTCAGCACTGTACTCAACTGTTGGCTTTCTAAAGTTTGTTCCAACGTTGTTAACCTAAAATAAAACAAAGTGTGGCATATGTATGATTAATGACAAGTAAATTAAATGGAAAAAGACTAATGTAATGCAAGGCCTTAACATAATGAGTGGGACAAACTTACACAGATGTTAAGCTTGCCATTGAAGGTGGATGCCACTTCCTGAATAAGCCTCTCTCTCTGAGGCTGCGAGGACACGTCACACACCGACCCAGTAACCTGAAACCCCTCACTCTGCCACTCTTCTACGAACTTCTTGAGCTCTGATTGGGTCCTGGAACAAGTGTGCACAGCGGCTCCAAACGCGGCCAAGTCACTCACTATGGCGTGCCTAAAACCCAGTTCAGAACAAACTAATTATCAGAACAAAGCCAAAGCAAAATGAAGAATCACAAGAAAACGGGCGATGAGATGAAAAAAGTGAGAATGTTGAAAACCAACCCGATCCCTCGGGTGCCGCCGGTGACAAGAGCCGTCATTCCATTGAGAGACCATCGCCCTCCTCTTTTACTACTGCTGATTTCTGGCCCTGCCATTTTCCGCTCTTTTTTTACTCAAACCCCTTTTGCAAATTGGAAATCCCTGTTTTTGTTCTTGTTTATTTGAGTTGACGAAGTCATCTTCACGCCCATGACCTATATTATAAAGTTAAACATTGAATAAATACAAAACTTTAAAAGTTGCTTTAGCACCCCGATGCTGTGGGGGAATTGCTTTTGGATATTCATTTTATATATCTAATCCACAATTCATTATAATAATAATAATAATAATAAATATATAAATTGAGAAGGTTTTATTAATATAATATTATTAAAATTTGGATTGTTAAGTGAATGTTTGACGGGTGAGGGTGTGAACTTAACATTTTCCATTGCTTTTTAAGTCCAGCCATGTTTGACTTCGATGCTCTGCAATGGAGAAAAGGGGCTTAATTACCAGGTGCAATTTGCCTTTAAAATTCTCAGAATGGTTAAATTAAAAAAAAGAAAAATCGTTTTTTTGTTATTTATTTATTTATAAAGAAGACCTGCATTCATCACAAATTTAAGGGAGAATTGTTTGTTACGTCGCTTATTAATTTACGAATTAGGTATAAATAAATTTTAAATAGATTATATTATTAAAAAATATTAACATGGTGATATATAAAATAAAATAAATAAAATTAAATATAATATATATTAAAAAGTAATTAAAAAAAAAGTAAAAGATACAATCAGAATTCTATTATATAAGTCTTAATCTTTTTATAATAATAATATTATTATTATTATTATGTAATCATTTCATAAAAATGACCAAAATCATATCAGAACATTGGAAAACAAGTTATCATAATTAATTTTTAATGTATCTTCTATTTCTATTTTTCATACATTATGTATCTTGTATTTATTTTTAATATATATTTAACTTTTTATTTACTTTATTTTTTTATTATCTTATTAATATATTTTTCAGTAATTTAATTTATTTAAATTTTATTTAGCATTATTAATATGTAAATAGTAATGGTTTATTTTATTAATTATAAATATTAAAATAAAACTTTTAATAAATTTAAAAAATAATTAAAGTTATCCATCAACGACTTTAATATAAAAAATGTTCAACTAAAATTGTCATTCAATACAAGATTAAAAAAAAAGTTCTCTATTAAAATCATGAATGAATGGACTATTTTTTATAAAGAATATATAAAAAATGAAATCTTTATTTTTAAATTACTAATTTAAAAATTTTTAAAAGCAAATTGCACGGTAAAAACAGAGAAAAGGGCCATGCTGGCTTCAAAATGAGTCTTCAACTGCAACAAGTGAACCACCTTAGCTTCCAGTCAAGTTACTAATTATTTGATGGAACATGACATTGATATAATATAAAAAAATTTAATTAAATTTTTGGATTGAATTAATTTTAATAAAAAAATTAAACATAAACTTTTTTAATATAATTTTTTTATAAAAAATATAATATTTTAATTTTTATATTTTATATTAATTATAACAATTTTAAATAATATTTATTATATTATATATTTTTATTTTTATTATTATTCATCTTATATTTTTTAAAGTATTTTATATTTATAATTTTTATTATAATACATAATTATTATCATATTAATATTATTATTAATAAATTTATTATATTAAAAAAATATTTTAATAAAATTCGATTCAACTTGATTATAATTTTAAATTTAAATTCTTATTTTTCGATTGGATCACCGGTTGGATTTTAAAAAGATGAATAATAATATTTTATTATATTATTATAAAATATTTTTCAATTAATTATATATAAAATATTATTATTTTTATTTATACTTCTAAAAATTAATTTAGTTTATTAGGTGATAATTCCAAGAGGTGATTATGTATACTGTTTATTTAATTGGTGGGTAAAAGAAAGTTTTCTTCAAGCCAAAGTTTAATAAATGATTAAGAATCAATATTTACATAAAATATATTATTTTTTTTAGATTGAAACTATTAAAACATTGCAGTATATTATTGGAACAAATCAAGATTTATGCAAAATTTAATAAATGTATACGTATCAATATTCATATAAGATTTAAAAGATAGTAAATATTTCACAGAAATTAAAAGGAGATGAAGGATGATCCTCTGAGGGGAGTAACATTATCCACATGTCACATGGTACCTATCACAGTTGCATCTGGGTGCGTGTGACTGCAAGAAATGGCTCTTGTTCTCAACGTGTCATTGTGTTCCACTTCTAAGCCCCTTCTCTCTCTCTCAAACTCCAATTCCAAACCTACTGTGCTTCATCTTCCTCTTCTGGTTCGAATACTATATATACCTATTTTTCTCTTACTCAACTTCCTCACCGTGATTCCCTCTGCTTCATTTCACAGGGATTCAACGCAAAGCAAAGTCGCCAGCCATTTCAGAAACTCGCATTTTCATTGGGTGAGACCGTGTCGGGCGCCACCCTCGTTGCTCTCCTCTCTGCTTCTTTCGTCTTTGTTGATCCCGCACTTGCATTCAAGGTAATCAATTACCCAACATTTTAGTGTTCATAGACGAGAATTTCAACCCCAGTTATTCAAGTTAAAGGCTTTTTGAGTTGATGAATGATGGGTGTGGTGAATTCAGGGTGGAGGGCCATACGGGCAAGAAGTGACAAGGGGACAAGATCTCACTGGGAAGAACTTCAGTGGCCAGACGCTGATCAAACAAGACTTCAAAACGGTGTGTAACTTTATTGTTTTCCCCTTTGTTTTTAAAATTTGTAAAAGAGGTTGGTTTTAATACATTCTATCTGTCAAGATGATTTTTTTAAAACAAATTAACTTTTGAAGTAATTATTGTAGTAAAACAACTTTAGTAGTTTTTGCATACAGTCGATAAACTTACCATATGACAAATTGACAATGTCTAATCAAATAGTAGTATGAAAACTTTTTACACTGCATCTGCATAAATTATTTTCCCATTAAATTCTGTTTAAAACTAAATTGATTTCAAATTTGATGATGGGGTCATTCAAATGCGTGCTTTTGATAAAAATTTAACTAGTTAACTAACATTGCCTGTTACAGTCCATATTGAGACAAGCCAATTTTAAAGGTGCAAAGTTAATAGGTGCTAGCTTCTTTGATGCTGATTTAACAGGTTTGTCCAACACTAAGTGTTATAATAACGGTTGTAATATGCACATATCGAATCCTGTTTACCATTCACATTTATTCTCTCCCCACCTGCTGTCTTTGTCAGGTGCTGATCTTTCGGATGCTGACCTTAGAAATGCAGATTTTTCTCTAGCAAATGTCACTAAGGTAATTGTTTTCCTGTTTTATTTTGGTGATGACCCTGATATTTGTTCATTAAGCTAGCATCTAATGGGAATTTAAAATTGAATCGTTTGCTCCCTGTTAATATGGCCTTTGTTTGTTGTGTTCTGTATTGTACGCATATCAACCCAAAATTTTAATAATGATAGTGACCAAACATAGGGCAATTGTGTGAGTGGGGAACATCTGATTAACTTTTCCTCTTCCTGTCCTTTTGTTGTATTATTTGAAGAAGAGAAGTTATAAATGTTTCAAATAGATACAGAGAAAAACTCGAAACAAAATGACCAAATGGAAATATGAGGGATATACTAGTGAATGCAGATGAACCTCTTCTAAAAGAAATCACTACTAAAGAACGTGGACTCTTCTACCATCTCATTTTTGTAAAAATGCTTTGCGGCATGCATTTTTTTCTCTATAAAGAATTCACATTTAATTATTATGGCGTAGAAACTGCAATCAAGTTAGCATGAAATATCATGATGGGATCCTTAACATAATTGTTAGCCATCTGCAATTAGACAGAATGGTAAATTGCATGGATACAATCAGATGGAAAAGGATTAACAACTTCAAATTTTCTTCTAGTATAACTTGAAAATGTGCCCCCAGTCCGCAGTAATTAAAGAATTTCTTTTTGGTGGTCTTCTGCAGGCAAATTTAAGCAATGCTAACTTGGAAGGTGCACTTGCAACAGGAAATACATCTTTTAAGGGATCAAACATTACAGGCGCTGGTATGTAATAATATACCACGTAACTTAAACCATAATGTGCTACTGTTGGGCTTTTAAGGGAAATATGGTTGTGAAAGAGTGTATACATCTGATAATGGCTTTCAACTCACTAGAAGAACATTGGTATTAGTTTACTGGTCTCTAGTTCCAAAAACCAATTGGTGTTGGGTTTCAATCAACTTATACAGAAGGGCCAGTTAGAGAGAAAGAAGAAAACATGCAAGAGAGGAAAAACAAAGGGAAGCAAGTTAGTTAGCTAAAACCCTGAATTTGTCTATAAAAAGTTACTAAGACGAGTTTTATTCTCCTTGAATGCCACTGTGATGCCATCTTTCTTTCCCTCCCCTTTCTTTTTTTAATTTGTATTTTTTATTAATTTTTTTTTTTTTACTTTTTGTACCTTGTCCATAAATAATAAATTATAAAAATATGTAGAGCTTTCTTTAATTTGATTTAATTTTTCATATTATTTAAATTTCATATATTAGAACTACAATATTAAAAGAAAGAAAAAAAATGCAGAATTACCAAATTTTTTTGATCCTTATTCCAAGAAACACATTTTCAACAAAACTAGGAAGCCTTATTTGAACAATATTTGTAGTTAAGTATATACCGTGCCTTTTTCAAATGGTTTTTGTGGTTGTTGGGATTATAGTATTAAACATGGACGCGATTACTGAAGAATTATTGACTTTCATATTCATTTTTACCTTTCCATCACTAGTAAATCTGCCTTAAATTTTGGACATACTCTCAACATGCAGTTCAGATATGAGAGTATAGTGTTAGTACCAGAAATTAGTACAACGCACCTGCATAAGTTTGGTTTCTGTATGCTTAGAAGTAATAGTGAAAACATATGATATGTTTGAGCTGAAGAAATAACTGAACCTATGTATGTAATGTTAAGAGTGTAAATAAACTTTGTTAAGATATGGTGACACCTCAAGATTAATGATTTACATCTTCATTCAATGGTTTGCTTTTTGTCTTGCTTGGAATCAGACTTCACGGATGTACCACTAAGAGAAGATCAACGTGAATATCTCTGCAAAGTTGCTGATGGGTAAGATTATATCTAATAATTAAGCTTCTTTTTTTTTGTCTAAATATATGCTTCATCAGTAACGAAGTTGTTTCTGGTAACAGAGTGAACCCAACAACTGGAAATGCTACGCGTGATACATTGTTCTGCAATTAGTATTCCGTTGCTGAAGAAGACTCACTCCAAGACCTTCAAAATATATGCACTAAATGTTTGCATCTCCATTAGTAAACTAATGGTTTAAGGCAAACGAATGGTTTCCTAGCTGACGATGTCCTTCCTTCGTGTCTCCCCATTAATCTCTATGTATAATCTGTGTGTGAAGTTGACAGCTTGGCATGTAGTTGAAATCTTGTAATACACACCAAAATCGAGATAATTCCAAATTTTCATTCATCATAAAATTGACAATAGGATTGTGATGTCATGCCCGTAACCAAACCTATTATTGATTGGTGTCATACAGCCAAAATCATTTCATCAATAGTATTATACTTTCGAAATACAGTAGCTTGTGTATGAAATGGTCAAACTTCTTGACAAACATTTATAAAACAAAACAAAAATGAAATATTTTTTTTATATAAATTAAAATTACTTTAGGTTATGTATAAGTTAATTTATAAAAATTATCTCAACTTTTTCTACTTCTCTAAACAAATTTTAATTTATGAAAAAGATTATTTCACGTTATTTTTCTTTCCTAACAATATTTATGGAGAAGTTTGATGCAAATACACAATGAATTGGGAAAGCCAAATGTGAATATATGACTGCAAATTATAAATGTCAAACTGATTAAGTACTCAGGAACTTTTTCACAAAAATATGAACAAATCCAATTATTTGATCTTTATAAGTATGCATGTCAAACTTTGCATTAATTAGACATTTACGTATATTTCAATACATTATCCCGTCAAAGTAAAATATGATAAAATATCATTTAAATTTTTCTTTATATGAAATTTATAAACTTAATCTATTTTATACAAAAAATAATAATTTCGACTATTAAATTGGTTTCATATTGAATGAAGTTATTAAGAACGTGAGGACAAACATTCGACTCTTCATACCAAATCTTTGTCCCTCTGTATTTACCCAAGAAACATTCTCATAAATCTTTCATAATTTAGAAAAGACAAAATACTCACTGAAATCCTCATACCTTGCAGGTAGCAGAGCTAAAAAAGAAAGGAATTGGCACAACAGTAAATTTTATTTCAAGCTCAATCGTTCAGAATCCTTGGAAGGATGGCAGAAATATTAAATATACTGATAAACAATTAATAACCGACATGTATTCGTGAGCATCTGGAAAGGTAGAGAAGAGCAAGCAGGAGCATCAATGATTTGCACGTCATGGCGGAGGCGTCCGTTGTCTCCGGACACGACGAGGTCTACTATCAGATCCTCCATCCGAAGATTCGTTTGCATCATCAGATCCAGATTGTCCATCATAATTTTCCCCCCAAAGTGTGGCAGGTCTCCTTATTCGCATCTGGAGTGTGGTACCCCTGGACACAGAAGCAGGTTGAAGAATGAGGAAAAACACAGCTAGCAGGCCACCATCATCTATGGGATCATCAACCCCAAATGAAGTTTGAAGCGTGCTAAGGAGGTCGCCAAGATCCCTCTGCCGCTCCAACCTCCTCCAGTTACGCTGACGCTCTGGGTCTACTGCTGATGGGCGCTCAAGAGGATGTTCAAGTCTTGCATGCTTTCTAAGATCAGGGTATGTGCCACTGAAGTTGCAAGTCTCACAAGAACAGCTCCTTGATTTCTCATTCATAAAATGTCGAGCCGCCTCCACTACTTTCCACTCTTTTATTTGCCCTCTACATAGAGGGCATACTAACTTTGACTTTGTCTCATTCTCACAGGATAAGGCTTGCACTGTAACCAAACCCTCACTTCTGTCTTCCGGCACATCAATTCTACTTTGCACAGTCACCTCATTTATGTCTTCCGGCACATTAATTCCACTTTGGACAGTCCCCTCCTCATTTCTGTCTTCTGGCACATCAATTATACTATCGACAGTGTTAGAAATTTGACTTTCAACTTGAGAAATGGTTGATGTGGTGTCAGCAAATGACTTGCGGAACTGATCAAGACAGTTTGAGTGGCGATAGCTAGTGTTGCACATGTAAGGGCGGCATCCTTTCTCATGGGATGAACATATGAGGAGAACTGCATTGTGAGGGTGTTCCATGCACACTGGACACCTAGCTTCTTCCCATTCTTTAACGTTTTCCTCCAACTCTTTAAGAGCAGATCTTCCAACACGACTAGAGCTGCTCGGGTAAGGTGATGCTCTGCAACTTTCATGTGACAATGACCTATCCCTTCTTTCCTTTGGCATATTGAATTGTCAATACTTTTTAAACACAAACTCTCCACCCCCCAGGAATAATTGAAGCAACTAGAAACCTACATAAAGGTAGCATCAACATGAACAAAACTGAATTGAACATCAATACATGTACTGGAAAAACACATGTCAAACACATCAGGCATCTTTGAAAAAAAAAAATTGATCGGCAAATAGGAATCCATGTGTAAAACAACAGAGCCTAAAAACCAAAATAGCAGGCATCCATATTCATAATTATTCGACAGACAATTGCATTCCAAAGCTTGATGTAAATCTTAAAGTAGAAAAAATATACTCCAAGAGAGGACTTGATTAATGAAAAATATACGATGTTATGCATACAAGACCTTAAAAATATATGCACAAGTGTATGCTGTTGCTTGAATGCTAATGAATCCTTTCTTCTTATTTCTCCATAATTATCATGACCCAAATCTAGTGTCCATTACTAGCCAAGATTAGAGTAATACCAAACCTTATCATCAAACCATTTTACAAGAGAATTTTACTAAACTTATGATAACCCTCATGGTATTAAGATTTTTGAAACAAAATCGTTCAAAAAAATTGTATGGCAATTTAAAACAAAAGGGATAACAAAACTAGTATAATCTTTATGAATAAAATTGGAATGATACAACATCCTTTACATCCCTGATAGATAGAAAATAGAGTATACTAAGACACAGTGAGGTCACCCCAAATACATACATGTAAGCATTTCAATAATTATACATTTTCCTATCATTTTTCCATAAAACTCGTTATTTAAAAACAATCCACAATAAAATAGTTATCACTTCTCATTATAATTTCATAAAATCTAAAGCATCAACAATACCATCATTGCATGTTCAATTATATATACCATAATGACTGAGTATAGAAGTCCCCAAGCAAGAGACCAATAACTGACCAAGTAATAGATCTAGGGCCATGCCCCTACTGGCAAGCTCAATCTATCAAGCATAACATACTAATCACAATCTAGAGTCTGTTAACCCTGAATTTCAGAAGAATGTCAAGGATCCATTCACCCAATCGCTTTCTAAAGGATTGGTACGTCCAGTGGCTTATATAAAAATACTATGTGCACATAGGGTATTTATTTTCTTCACTATAGTAAAGCAGATTATGCCATTTTTATTCTTGATTGCAGCAAAAGCAAGTGTTCTAACATATAAACCATAAAATATTGCATTAAAACAAATCCTGGACAATAACAAGTCTGTCCACTTAATTCCTACAGCACAAAAAATTTTCTAGTGCACTATTCTCAATACAAATTGAATAAAGAACTGATATTTTTATATCATAGACTACAGCATGCAAATTTTAAAATATAAGAATCAACACATCGTATGACGTGTAAATTCCCAAATATAGCAACAAAATAGAAACCTTATTAACTACTCCGTTTTGATACACAAGTGGAATTGAATCACAATGGATCATTTCAGAGATTTTACCACAAGAAGCTAGATTTTCTAAGCTTTCCAACAAGCTCAGGATAACACAAATTGGAGTCCTTTTACCCATGTTATGATCCTTCAAAGTAGATTGATCTACATCAGAATTCAGCACAACTAGTGTCTGCATTTTTATGCACCAGGAGGAATCCCTGTGGTTGAAGAATTCCAAAACTTAATAGACTGAAACAATAATTATGATCTTTCAAAGCCCGCTGGTTCATTCAAAAACAATTTTCCTAGTTCATGTTATGATCAAACAAATAGGACATAGTTTCATTCAAAATATTGAACAGAAAAGTTAATTTCACAAAATTACAACTCAACGCATTCTGAAATTTTTATGCATTTTTATTCAACACAAAATTACAACACAACTAGTGTCTGCATTTTTATGCACCAGGAGGAATCCCTGTGGTTGAAGAATTCCAAAACTTAATAGACTGAAACAATAATTATGATCTTTCAAAGCCCGCTGGTTCATTCAAAAACAATTTTCCTAGTTCATGTTATGATCAAACAAATAGGACATAGTTTCATTCAAAATATTGAACAGAAAAGTTAATTTCACAAAATTACAACTCAACGCATTCTGAAATTTTTCTGAATCAAACAATTACATGTCAGCTTCCAATCAAAGTTGGCAGCACTTCCAAGTAATTAGCATAGCTTTGAGTCATCAAAACTTACAGCAGACAATCATGTTCTGAAATTTTTATGAATTTTGAAGTATGCTAATGAAATTTTCCAGTTAGATACATCATAAAGAAGCATTCAAACAAATTAACCCCATTTAATAGCATCTGAAGCAGAAGTTTTTTGTAAAAGCGATTATTCCAACTTCAAACCAAGCATCACAGATCTCATTCATGAAAAATTAAAGATAAATGAAATATAGTTGCAAAATCCACACTTAAACCCCAATTTATCTCATGATTTGAAGGCTGAACATCTGCCAAACACTTTGAGTGCAATTCCCCATCATTCCCATGTCTTGAAATCTCTCAATCCTCTCAACCCCTCTATTTGCAAAACTATACAACTCAATCCAACAGCTTATTTACCACAGAAAACTCGCAAGAATCACGATTCCCTTTTAAAAACCCTAGTTTACCAAAATCAAACATCAAGAAGCAATCCAACGAATCCAGCTTCACATATCAAGAGGAATAGCAAGAAATTGAAGTTTAGACTCTAAATCCCTCACCACTTCGATCTCCTTCCACCTCGAATCCGGATAAAAATGGATATGCTGAAACTCTGAAACTTGTGATACCGTTCAGTTTCTCTCGTTCTCCTCTTCAAATTCTTCAACTGTTAGCAACAGAAGGGAGATCTCGATCGATCTTCCCCTTTCCCTTTTGTCTTTTTCTTTGTGTTTTTCCCTTTTTCTTCCTCTCTTCTTCTTCCTCTTTTTCCTTCTCTCTGCTTCTTCTGCACTTCCACGTTGGAAACCCTGTTATTCTTCATCTTATATAACTTCCATGATTTACTTCGTAGGACCTACACTCCCCCAATTTCCACGTAACTTTTCTTTTTTGTTCCAAGTTTTCTTAAAATAATAAATTCTAAATCTTCCTACTATATTTTTAATTACCTATCCTTCTTATAGTAAATATTAGCCATTTTTAAATTTTTAATGTTTTGAAAATATTAATTATTCATATAATACTATTCTTTCAGATTAAGTATTAAGTCTTTTTTTATATATTTTAAAAACTTTAAATCTCATTAATACATTAATGACTCCTGAAATCTTGTAAAATTATTTAAATATTTTCTAATCTCTACACTCTGTGATTTTTTTTTTAAGTTCAAACCACGCAATATTTGTAAAGTGTCACAAAAATTAAACATACTTAGATGTAATTTTACTTAATATTCTCTAAGTTGGCTTAAACTACATATATTCTCTTCATGAAAACATCTTAATCTAACCTTATAAGATTATTATATATAAAACAAACTCCCCCATCAAATATTTAATACAACAATAAATTTAACTACATGTTAAATATTAATTAATATATTAATAGTGTGTTCTTTTGCATGAACCGCCGCAAGAAAGAGAAGATGGATATGAGAATGATTGAATGCACTGTGCAATCTTTGAACTTGTTTGGTCCTGTTCTTGATGTCTTGTAAATGCATCCGATTCAGATTTTAGACTACTCCAAATTTTCATTCCCCATATAATCATACCCAACAACTTTTCATGGAAACTGTGATATTAAATTCATTGCATTTACCCCTTTCTCATTTTTCTATAGCTTCATTTTTTCAATATTGGAAAAAAAAAACTCCATGCTTCCCTCAAAAGAAGAATCCAGGGTGTACATGCATTTTTCATATTTGTATTCGGGAAATAAAATGTTGGGTAATGATCTTATCGCCAAATAACTTCATACTTGTCTTTTTGCAAATTTGTTATATATACTAACTGAGGAAAGTACTTAATAAAATAAGGTTGTTTACGGTCTATTAATTAATTCAATTACTATTTTATAATTTCTCCTTAACCTATTCACTGTGTATTCTGAGTTGGATTTGCCTAAAACAAAGTAAATTATCCGATAAATCATGGATTAGAGTGAAATTAAGTTTTTAAGTAAAATTTTGAGTCTAGATTTATGAATAAAGATGTAATAAAAAACTTACGGGAAATAATCAATTGATTTTGTTAGTTTTTTATTCATCACAAATAATGCAATTATATAAGACAAAAAAATGTGTGAAAAACTTAAATTTTGAACTCATACGATAACAACAAGAGAAGTGATGATAGCCACGGAAACCTTCCACTTCTTACATAGCTATATGCTCACACAACATTGGAACTGTTGTTTAACATATTCGGGTATTTTTATCACAATTTATCAATGAATATATTTTTTAAATTTTCAAGTCATGTTTAAAACACAATCTAGAATGAAGATTGTGTTTTGTTTTCTTTAATTTATTATCAATATTATAAATTGAACACAATGATGATTAAAAACATTAATAGTATTAATTGTTTTGAATATGTTTTTTACTGGAGTAATTAAACTAATAACAATTTTTAGGAGTAGCATTTTTTCCATCATTGCTGTATTTTTTAAAAATAAGGTACAAAAGCATACGAATACACACTAAATATTTAATCAAAATAGATTAACATAGCGTTAAAAAAATGTAGAGACATAATTAAATGTGATTCCTCACCTCCAGATTGAAACAAATATTTCTTATTTTACTATATTTTGGGCTTTTGAGAGTGATTGATAAATCCCGTTAACAAATAATTTCCAAAGATAGTTGTTATAATTCACTTAAAGTTAAAAAAAAAAAAAATCCTTTTAAAAGACTTATTATAGTAACACTAACATATTTTTGTAAGATATTGAAATTGGGAAGTTTTATGAATCTTTTTTATTTGTTCATATAGTCCCGTTGTTATAATTTATAATAAAATTTAATCACGTGCGGGATCTCACCATGGGACTACGTATGAAGCATGCAATGAAACAACGTAGTCAGAAAGAAATGTCAAAATAGAAAGATTGATGTAGTAATTTGTGGTTAGTAAAAGGATATACAAACAAATTCAAATAACAGTTTTTTTTTTTTTAAAGAACGAAATAGCGAAGGCTCCAACCACAACTGCAACGAGGGCGATCTCCTCTGAAGGAAGTGTGACACACAACACAATCCATGATTTCCAATTCGATGCTCCAAATAATGCATCCCCGTTAGCTCTGATTCATGCCCTTTACACGCTACCCCTGTAAGTTTCCATTTTTCTTCTTGTTCTTCCATTTTAATTCTCAACATTTCTTTGGGGTGCCATTGTGTGAATTTAAGCTTCAAAGTAGATTTAAAGACCCCTGTGTAGAACTTTAGTTTAATTTAAAATGGGGTTTATGTCATTGGTTTGATTATTGTTACCATGCCATTAAAACTGACTATGAAATGGGTTCAACGGGAAGGGCAGATTTCATGTTAGATCTAATGTTTTAACAATTTCATGTTATGAGTTTAAAGTTGGATTCTGGTTCCATCTGGATTGATTTCCATCCTCAACTGGCTTAATTTTTATAATTGTGTTTATTGAATTATCTCTAATGTGTAACTTTTGCGCCACTAATATGATATTTCTATGTTCTTCTGAGTTTCAGACAGAAAAATGCCTTTGAAGTTTCAGCTCACAGATGAAATATTCGATTTTGAGTGAAATGAACCAATATCTACATTCATTAATCTCTAATCTACCTGATTCAATGAGTGAGTGTGCATGTGCAACTTATTTTCTCATTTAATTTATAACTATGAAATACATAGTAACCAAATTGCTGGATTTTATTTGGTGATGGAGAAGGTTACTGTTGGTTGGTTATAAAGTTTCTATTTAGATATAATGTTAATCTCTGCAACTACTCTGTGTTGCAGACCAAACATTTTTTGCTGCTGAAAGGCTTGAAAACGTTGTTTAGTTTGCTTTGAATTCAGTGTGAGTCAATTTCTTCGGGATATGTGGTTAGAGTTCTTAATTGTGTTTGTATAACTTTGAAAGTATTTTATACATCCCCATTACACTGAAGTAAGGCACCATTCTAAATATGTTTGCATGTGTATTTATTGTGTGTATGGTCTGTTAATATATTCACCATGCATGTTCTTCCTTGACAACTCTCTCTAGAGCTTTACAGGGTACTTGGGTTGTGTTTCATGTTTATGTACTTTGCATCTGTTTTGAATTTGGATTGTTTGTGTCACAGAATATTGATGCTTAATTGGAGTCATTAAAAGGTGGGAATCCTTATCACTGTATTGATTGTCTCTTTCAACATTGTCTTTGTTAGGGCTTTTGTTCATCTCATTCTCAGCATTCTTTTAATAAATGTGAATCTAATCCTTTTTTCAAATCGGGAGAGCTAAAGATGCAAATGCAAACTGGTCTTAATGCGACAAAGGATCAATATGAGCAATGTGGGGCTGGATATCCAAACAAAACTACTGTCGCATGCATGATAAATGCAGAAATTAGTGCAGTGTTGGCAGTTATGCGAAGAAATGTCAGATGGGGAGTTCATTACATGTCAAATGATGACCAGACAGAGCACTTTCTTGTTCAGTCATTAAAGACGTTAAGGAGGCAAATTTTCTCATGGCAGAATCAATGGCATTCCATCAACCCTACCTTGTATCTCCAGCCCTTTTTGGATGTGATACGATCAGATGAAACTAGTGCGCCTATTACTGGTGTTGCTTTGTCATCTGTTTACAAAATCTTAACTCTAGATGTGATTGATCAACACACTGTCAATGTTGGGGATACCATGCACTTCGTGGTTGATTCTGTCACTAGTTGCAGATTTGAAGTGACCGATCCTGGATCAGAAGAAGTGGCATTAATGAAGATTTTACAAGTTCTTCTAGCTTGTGTGAAAGGTAAAGCATCTGTCATGCTGAGTAACCAACACATTTGCATCATAGTGAATACATGTTTCCGAATAGTTCATCAAGCAGGAACTAAAGGTGAGCTGTTGCAACGAATAGCACGGTACACAATGCATGAACTGGTTAGGTCTATATTTTCTCACCTTCAGAATATTGACAATACAGAGTGTGAATTCATAAATGGGAGCGCTACCTTAAAACAAGAGGTATAAGATTTGTGTTTCCTTCTATCTTTTTGGTTGCATTTCACACTTCTTGATGAGATTTTTTGCCAGTTGCTATGAAAAACAATAAGAATATTCAACTCTGGGCAGGGTAAAATTCTTATTTGCAAAAAAATAAAATTGCTTTGCTATTGTAAGTTTTTTCTCAGTTTACAAATTTGAAATAGTTAAAAAGGAAAATTAACTCTCTTCTATGTTACCGTATATTATTTATGTCAAAATGTCAATTTCCATTGAACTTTTGGGAACAAAACTCTATGATTCCAAACTTGGAGTGTTGAACACCATACCATATCAATGTTTGGCCATCTAGCTTATAAGTCTGAAGTACAGCCCAAAATGAAACAGTAAACTTAGACCTCCCTTCTTGCTTTTTCTGCAGGTGGAGGACGGCAATATTATAAAAGGGACTAGGCCAAGTAAATGACTAAGAAATCTTCTAGGTAGATTGTGTGTAACTTACTGGGAAAAAAGGAAAAATGCTTGTAATAACATCTATTAGTAAAATAAAATGGGGGAGAGGCTACGAGGAAGAAGCAAAGAATCTTTGCTTGATGTATATATGTTATTAGTAGTTAGGGGTAGAGAGTTGTCTTGTATATTGTTAAACTTTCAAATGGCCATATTATATAGTCAAATCTATATATTCTCAAGGGTTATATTCAATTGTTCTACTACCATAAACACTTTGGGTGGTGCAAAACTGAACTTTTAGAGTTAGGACATGCATCAATTTGAAATTAAGTACTGATTATAAATAGTGTTTTTGCAGACCACTGGACTAAGTAATGACCATGCTTTGGCAAGCAGAGAATTGGAAAATGGGAGCCTTAATTCTGCATACGATGCTCAACCATTATCTAAAATCATTGCTTCCAGCACTGCAATTGCAAATGTCGTGGATGAAAACACAGCTATTGCTAGCAGTGGCAATGAGACTGATCCACACGAATTACAGATTATGATTAAACCATATGGAGTTCCTTGTATGGTGGAAATATTTCACTTCTTGTGTTCTTTGCTGAATGTCTCTGAGCATAGGGGAGTGAATTCTAGATCAAACACAATGACGTTTGATGAAGACGTGCCTCTTTTTGCATTAACTTTGATTAATTCAGCCGTTGAGTTGGGAGGGCCATCCTTTCGCCGTCACCCACGACTGCTGAGTTTAATTCAGGATGAATTATTCTGCAATCTTATGCAATTTGGTTTATCAATGAGTCCTCTTGTACTTTCAATGGTGTGCAGCATTGTTCTCAATTTGTATCAGCATCTTCGTCCAGAACTCAAATTACAGCTTGAAGTATTTTTTTCTTGTGTAATTTTGAGGCTTGCACAAAGCAAATATGGGGCCTCATATCAGCAACAGGAGGTTGTGATGGAAGCACTTGTTGATTTTTGCAGGCAAAAAACATTCATGATTGAGACGTATGCTAACTATGACTGTGATATAAGTTGCAGTGATGTCTTTGAAGATATTGCTAATTTGTTGTCCAAAAATGCATTTCCTGTGAACAATCCATTATCTTCTATACATATTCTTGCCTTAGATGGTCTTATTGCTTTAATGGATGGAATTGCAGAAAGAATAGGTAGTGGCTCTCTAAGTTCAGAAGAATCTCCTGTGAATTTTGAGGAGTATACACCATTTTGGATGGAAATGTGTGACAATTTTGATGACCCAAATGATTGGGTTCCTTTTGTCCGCCAAAGAAAGTGCATAAAGAGAAGATTAATGATTGGAGCTGATCACTTCAATCGGGATATTAAGAAAGGTCTTGAGTTTCTCCGAGGAACACATCTTCTGCCTAACAAACCTGATCCCCAAAGTGTTGCCTGCTTTTTAAGATACACAGCTGGGTTGGATAAGAATCTCATTGGTGATTTCCTAGGAAATCATGATGAATTTTGTGTTCAGGTTCTTCATGAATTTTCTAGGACATTTGATTTCCACGATATGACCTTAGACACAGCCCTACGTGTATTTTTAGAGACTTTTAGGCTTCCTGGAGAATCACAGAAGATACATAGGGTGCTTGAATCTTTCTCTGAGAGATATTATGAACAATCACCAGATATCCTAGCTAACAAGGATGCTGCTCTCGTGTTATCATACTCGATGATATTGCTTAATACAGACCATCATAATGTGCAGGTCAGAAAGAAGATGACGGAAGAGGATTTTATCCGAAATAATAGGCATATAAATGGTGGTAATGATCTGCCTCGAGAATTTCTGTCAGGGATTTACCATTCAATTTGTAAGAATGAAATTCGTACCACTCTTGAACCGAGCTTTGGATTTCCTGAAATGACCCCAAGTCGGTGGATTTCTCTGATGCACAAGTCAAATAAAACTGCTCCATACATTGTATCGAATTCCAGATCATACTTAGACTATGATATGTTTGTGTTGTTGTCAGGCCAAACAATTACTGCCATTTCAGTGGTTTTTGATGATGCTGAAAATAAAGAGGTATATCAAACATGTATTGATGGATTCTTAGTCGTTGCTAAGATATCAGCCTACTATAATCTTGAAAATGCACTTAATGATCTCGTCGTGTGCCTCTGTAAGTTCATTGCCATTTTGGATCCATTATCAGTTGACGAATCTGTCCTGGCCCTTGGAGATGACACAAAAGTAAGAATAGCAACTGAGACAGTTTTCACTATTGCAAATAGGTATGGTGATTACATCCGCACAGGGTGGAGGAATATCCTTGATTGCATCTTAATATTTTACAAGTTAGGACTAATTCCTACACGCTTGGCCAGTGATGCAGCTGATGAGTCACGGGTAACTACTGAGATTGGACATGGAAAGTCTAACTCAAATTCTTTATTATCATCAAATATTCAACATATTATTCCAAAGAGATCCTCAGGATTAATTAGCAGGTTTAGTCAACTCTTATCACTTGGCTCTGAAGAGATACAATCAATACCTACACAAGAACAGCTGGTTGCTCTTCAGCGAGCTACACAAGCAATTCAAAAGTGTCAGATTGATAGCATATTCACTGAGAGCAAATTTCTGCAAGCTGAATCTCTATTGAATCTTGAAAGAGCGCTCATTAATGCTGGAACTCAACATCCGAAAGGAAACAGAATATCTGAGGATGAAGATCCTTCAGTTTTCTGCCTTGAGTTATTGGTGGCAATCACTCTGAATAACAGGGACAGAGTTGTACTTATTTGGAAGGGTGTTTATGAGCACTTATCCAATATTATTCGGTCGACTGTGATGCCTTGTGCTCTGGTAGAAAAGGCTATTTTTGGACTTCTTAGAATTTGCCATCGCTTACTTCCCTACAAAGAGAACATTACTGATGAACTTTTGAGGTCCCTGCAACTTGTCTTGAAGCTTGACGCACTAGTTGCAGATGCATACTATGAGAAGATTACTCAGGAAGTCAGTTGCCTTGTGAAGGCAAATGCTTCTCATATTAGATCTCAGTCTGGATGGGGGACTATTACAGCACTTCTTTCCATCACTTCTAGACACCTGGAATCATCTGAGGCTGGATTTGATGCACTGCTGTTCATTATGTCTGATGGAGCTCACTTGCTCCCTGCTAATTACATCCTCTGTGTAGATGCTGCGAGACAGTTTGCCGAGTCTCGTGTAGGACTGGTTGATCGTTCTATAACTGCACTAGATCTTATGGCAGGTTCTGTAAACTGTTTAGAAAAATGGACTAATAATGCTAAGAAAACTGTCAAAGAAGAGGAAGTGGAAAAGATGATGCAGGATATTGGGGAAATGTGGTTTAGGCTAGTGCAAGGACTGGGGAAAGTATGCTTGGATCAGAGAGAGGAGGTTAGAAACCATGCGTTATTATCTTTGCAAAAGTGCTTGCTAGGAGCTGTTGGGACTCACCTGCCATGTGATTTGTGGTTGACATGTTTTGATCAAGTTATCTTCACTGTGCTCGAAGACCTGCTTGAAATTGCACAATCGCATTCTCAGAAAACCTACCCAAACATAGAAGGAACACTTGTTATTGCCTTGAAGCTTATGTCTGAAGTTTTCCTCAAGTTACTCCAAGAACTATCACAATTGGCGGCCTTCTGCGAACTATGGGAGGATATACTAAGCTGTATGAAAAAATGTGTGAATATGAAAATTAAAGGAAGAAGAACTGAAAAGCTTCAAGAGCTTGTGCCAGAGCTTCTGAAGAACACTTTGCTTGTTATGATATCTGGGGGCATACTAGTGCAGAGTAATAATGGTTTGGGTGAAAATACTTTGTGGGAACTGACATGGCTACACATAAAGAATATTTCTCCCTCATTGCAGTCTGAGGTGTTTCCTGAGGAAGATCTAGAACAGCATTAAAGCAGATGAAAGTTAGGGACCTGATGCAAACATTTCTGTTAATTCAAATGAAAAAGATGGCCAAGATGGTGTTGAGATTAGTTAATTCTGCCTGCAGTGCTTAAGAAACCTGAATTGGCTTTTCTGTGTCCCTATGAACACCCCACAATCTTAGTCTAACCTTGATAAATTTTCAATTTGAGAGGGTGTTCTAGCTGATTATGCAGTATATGACATTATTAACGTGGTTGGAGCAGTTTGTTGAGGCTAAGCATGAAGTGAAGTTGCCTGTTATTTGGTATTCTCTCTTTCTAATAATTACCTCAGGGACTCTTGTTACTGTATCACAGATGAGATTTTTGGTTGGAAATATGTTATACTACATGGATACACTCAAATTATAAAGCATTAGTATTGCCTTTGTGGGTTGTACAGAACTTAAAATTGTTCTCTCTTTTTGTATTGGGTGGGACATGTATTTACTCTGTAGGTTAATGATGTAAACAACATTTTTTTTTTTAGATGATCATGAATATATATAAACACACATTAAGATGACCAAAGATGCTTGGGAGCAAGTTTAGTTATAGACTCTGTTCTGTTTCTGAAGAGAGTAAAATCGATTTTGGTTTAATAAAAAATTTGCTGTTGTTCAATGTCTTCTTAGTGCCAAACTCAATTTCAACCATTGAGTTAGTTGGTTTTTTTCTTCTTCTTCTTCTTTATTTTAACCAATAAACACAGGTATAAGTTTGAATAATTGATGGTTTACATTAAATTAATTAAATATATGAAGTTTAGAGTGATCATATAAGTTAATGCTTTATCAATTAATTTTATTGTAATATAAATATATTTCTAAAAATATAAGTGAACATACAAAAAATAAGATTGTAAATTTATGAATGTTGACTTAAAATTTATTATATAATCACTAAAGTAATATTTTACATTATTTGATAGCTAAATCTATTAATTTCATATTTTTATGAAATAAATATTCTTGATATGTTTTGGTAAATGATATATATATTTCTAAAAATATAAGTGAACATAAAAAATAAGATTGTAAATTTATGAATGTTGACTTAAAATTTATTATATGATCACTAAAGTAATATTTTACATTATTTCTAAATCTATTAATTTTATGTTTTTATGAAATAAATATTCTTGATATGTTTTGGTAAAATGATATATATATATATATATATATATATATATATATATATATAGGCACATGCACATCTTGTTATTGTAGACATAAATTTTATTGTATTTTAAGATAATTTGAAATCTTTTTAATTTCACCAAAATTTGTCATACAAAATTATTGTGAGGTGAATATTAAAGTGACTAAATTTATAATGGTACAGAATAACCCTTTTCAGATTAAGATCATAAAATTTTTGACTTTTTCTTTATGTTAAAGTACTGATTATTTTTAATTTAATAAATTAAATCACTTTATCCATATTTTCAAATTTATATTTCATTTTAAAAATACTTTAAAATATTATTTTACTCTAACATTTTTTGGTTAATTTAACATCATTCATTTTAAAAAATATTTCTTACTGTAATTTTTTTTATCAATTTTCTCTATTCATATAGTTTTGAGATTTAATTTGTATATAATCATATTTGTATTTAATTATTTTGTTTTCACAATATTATTTTTATTATATTTAAATTCAATACAAATCATAAGACGTTTCAATATTATTTTTAATCATTTTAATAATACTATTTCTATTTATTCTGATAATATTCTATTTAAAATTTATTTAGTCATTATTATTGTATAACTAGGAAATAAATGAAAATTTCATAAACATATAATAATTTATATAAAATAAAGAATGAAAAAATATCTTCGCTTTACTTCTAAATTAATTATTTATATAAAAGTCAACCAATTTATCATTATAAAAAATATTTATCCAGTAAATGTATGATTTACTCAAAAATGAAACTGCGACATTGTACACATACTTTATTAATTTAAATAATTACGAAAATATTTAACAATATAGGCATCATTATAAAATGTTGACAAAAATTAATTTTTTTTATAATAATTAATAATATTATATATAATTAATAGTATTATAAAATTTAAAAGCCTTTTAGTAAGTAATAATTATCATATTATAATATTTCTACATACTATCCAACATTTTTATATAGCATTTATGACAGTTACATTTACAATATGATTCAAAAAGATTTGTTCATATTTAACTATTTGATATTTTATTTTTTATTAGTACAATATTACTCATGGTAATAATTTTATTCTATATTGTTTTTCTTTTTCAAAACTCACTCATGATGCTGTTTGAAGTTTTCAAAATCTTAGGTAAATGTCCTTAAAATTTTGAAGGTGTGAATTTAATTTGTTGTAAATTTTAATTTGAATAATAATGTTAATATCTTTGTTCGATTAGGACATTTTAAAGGAAATTGTTAATAAAAACTATTTAAAATTAAAATTAAATATTTTGTTATAGATTGAACACATAAATTGTTTTAAATTATTTATATTAATATTTTTAAATTTTAAATAAATTTATCTAATTTTAAATAATTTATATATAAAATTTATAATAAATATTTATTTTATTTTTAAAATAAATTCATATTAATAGTTTTTAAATATGTTTTTATATAATTTCTTAAATTTAATAAAAAAATAAATAGGTCATATAATTATTATATATGGACAGAAATGAAAATAAAGTAGAGGAAGAAGTATTATTGGGTTAATTTATTTAAATATTTCAAGATGTAAATCAAATTTATCTTACAATTTTAATTTTTGTAATGTTCATTATTCTCTTTTCATACAATATAATAGAATATTATTAAATATTTAAAAAATTGGTCCATTTTCCATGTACATATTTTAAATATAGAGTGCCAAAATTTTATGTTAAATATAATTAATATTCTAAATTTAAATTAGTATATAGATTTTTTTTTTCAGTGTAAAATTTATAAACTATACCTACCAGTTTCAAGTAAAACCCACAAAAATTAATCATGGAAGTGTTAATGGATAATAATATGATTATAAAAATCATGTTTAATATTTACTTATTATTACATCAAAATAATAAATGAATAAAATTTCCCTAGTTTTCCAGAGTCATTTCCTTTTGTTTTCTTTTTCACGTTAGTTTACAGCGAGACGCAGTAAAGAATACAAGACTGAAGATTCCGATGAGGATCAGTAGCAGCACGGAGTTCAGTCAACTTTTCCGTTGAATCGTGGAATTAAGCAAAGCTAGGGAACTTTCTGATTCGCAGAGAGCAACGAGTGAGTGTGATCTTTGCTTTCGCTCGATGTTGCAATTTTGCTTTTCTCTCCGTAGTGGAAGAGTTTTCGCCATTCTTTCAATTACGCGGAATTTTATCTCAAATTGCTTGAATGAAAACGGTGGATCCATCAGATCTTCTTCATCTGCTCGTGCATTTTGAGTAGTTGAACTTTTGCACATGAGCATACTTAGAAATTAGGATTTGTGTGTTTAATAATGTTTTAGACTTACATTACGTTAGGTTACCTCGTGTGTTAGACATTTACATGCCGTAGTGCTGAATTGAATCTGAAGAGTTCTCAGTTTATGTTTCTTGTGTTTGTATTTCGTGCTTCATTTAAGTTAGGGCATTACACTGCAACCTATAAGAATAACGTTGTATTCTGCTACAAAAATATCTCATTACTTCTACTAATACTTTATGGAGAAAGTACAAAGCGGAGAAGCATTTAATACTTGGTTTAGGATGTAAGAAGCTTAGAAGGAGAAATAATTATGTAAATGAATCTGGACTTGTTATTCTTGATTATTTGGTTTGCGGAAATATGGACTAGTTAATTTTGTTATCACATTGTATTTAAAATAATTTTTTCTCATAAGCTAAAATTAGCTTATGCATTAGTTAAAATCAACTGTTGTAGTAGTTAATGAGATTGTTTTACCTATTGGCTTGTGCAATGTGCATAGCATAAGTAAGTTTAGCTTATGGAAGAAACTTCTTCATTTTAGCTTATTTCTTCTCTCAAGTGTTTATGAAAAAGTTTATTTAGACAGGGCCTTATTCAGTAATTACTTGACAACTCCCTCTTGGGTACCATACTAGTCAGATTACTATAACACAACTCCTTTTAATTATTTGGTTTGTGGAAGCCCTGATTAGTTATATTTATCAGTTTTTTTGTACATAATAGAAACCCCTCATTGAAAATCTACCAGATCCTTCCTGTGCAAGAATATTACAAAAATGGGACGTCTGAAGCTGCAAGCTGGTATCAATGCAATAGAGGAGGAGGAACCCGAGGAATGTGATGCACCCTACCCCAACAAAACAACTTTGGCATGCATGATTAATTCGGAAATCGGTGCTGTTTTGGCAGTGATGAGGAGAAATGTTAGATGGGGAGGCCGTTATATGTCAGGTGATGATCAGCTGGAACACTCTCTCATTCAGTCTTTCAAGACAGTGAGAAGACAAATCTTTTCATGGCACCACCATCAGTGGCAAGCTATCAATCCTGCCTTGTATCTCCAGCCATTTTTGGATGTAATTAGGTCTGATGAAACTGGTGCCCCAATTACTGGTGTTGCTTTGTCATCTGTTTACAAGATCTTGACTCTTGATGTGATCGATCAAAATACTGTCAATGTTGAGGATGCCATGCACTTGGTGGTTGATGCTATCACTAGCTGCAGATTTGAGGTCACTGATCCTTCTTCAGAAGAAGTTGTTTTAATGAAGATACTACAAGTTCTCCTAGCTTGTATGAAAAGTAAAGCATCTATAATGCTGAGTAACCAACATGTTTGTACCATAGTGAATACTTGTTTCCGGATTGTTCATCAAGCAGGAAGTAAAGGTGAGTTGTTGCAGCAGATAGCACGATACACAATGCATGAACTTGTAAGGTGTATTTTCTCTCATCTTCAAGATGTTGGCAACACAGATCATGCACTGGTTAATGGGAGCACTAACTTGAAACAGGAGGTATGAGAATCGTGTTACCTATTTTTAAAGGCTATATTTTCCCCATGATTATTGCCTAAAGTTAACAGTTTGATGATCATATTTATAATATGTATATGAATTTTTGTATGTCCATAATTCTTGCAGACCGGAGGCCTAGATAATGAGTATGCATTTGGAAGTAGACAATTGGAGAATGGCAGTATGAGTTCTGAATATGATAATCAGTCATTATCCACAAACTCTGTTCCCAATGCTTCAAGTGTTGTGAAAGCAACTGTGATGGATGAAAACACAGCAATAACTATTAGTTGCAAGGAAGGTGTACCATATGACATGCATCTCATGACTGAACCGTATGGTGTTCCTTGCATGGTGGAAATATTTCACTTTTTGTGTTCTTTGCTGAATGTTGTTGAGCATTCGGGAATGGGTCCTAGATCAAACACGCTAGCATTTGATGAGGATGTGCCTCTCTTTGCCTTAACTTTAATTAATTCAGCAATAGAACTTGGTGGACCTTCTATTTGTCGTCACCCAAGGTTGCTGAGCTTAATTCAGGATGAACTGTTTCATAATCTAATGCAATTTGGTTTGTCAATGAGTCCCCTTATACTTTCGATGGTTTGTAGCATTGTTCTTAATCTGTATCATCATCTTCGTACAGAGCTCAAATTGCAGCTAGAAGCATTTTTTTCTTGTGTCATTTTAAGACTTGCACAAAGCAGATATGGAGCTTCATACCAGCAGCAAGAGGTAGCCATGGAGGCCCTTGTTGACTTTTGCAGGCAAAAGACATTTATGGTAGATATGTATGCTAACTTTGACTGTGACATAACTTGCAGTAATGTCTTTGAAGACCTTGCTAATTTGTTGTCCAAAAGTGCATTTCCTGTGAATTGTCCATTGTCTGCCATGCATATTCTTGCTTTGGATGGTCTTATTGCTGTTATACAGGGAATGGCTGAAAGGATAGCCAATGGATCTGTAAGCTCGGAATATTCCCCAGTGAATCTTGAAAAGTATACTCCATTCTGGATGGTTAAATGTGAGAATTATAATGATCCAAATCATTGGGTTCCTTTTGTCCGCCGTAGAAAGTACATAAAGAGAAGATTGATGATTGGTGCTGACCACTTCAATCGTGATCCTAAGAAAGGTCTGGAGTTTCTCCAAGGAACACATCTTTTGCCTGACAAACTTGATCCCCAAAGTGTTGCCTGCTTTTTCAGATATACTGCTGGGTTGGATAAGAATCTTGTTGGTGATTTCCTTGGAAATCATGATGAATTCTGTGTTCAGGTTCTTCATGAATTTGCTGGGACATTTGATTTCCAAGACATGAACTTAGACACTGCTCTGCGTCTATTCTTGGAGACATTCAGACTGCCTGGAGAATCGCAAAAGATACATAGGGTGCTTGAAGCTTTCTCTGAGAGATATTATGAACAATCACCACATATCCTAGCTAACAAGGATGCTGCTCTTGTGCTATCATACTCGATGATAATGCTTAATACAGATCAACACAATGTGCAAGTTAAAAAGAAGATGACAGAAGAGGATTTTATCCGGAATAATAGGCATATAAATGGTGGCAACGATCTGCCTCGAGAAATGCTGTCAGAGATTTACCATTCAATTTGCAAGAATGAAATTCGCACAACCCCTGAACAAGGTGTTGGTTTTCCTGAAATGACACCAAGTCGATGGATTGATCTAATGCACAAGTCCAAGAAAACTGCTCCATTTATTGTATCTGATTCTAAGGCCTACCTTGATCATGATATGTTTGCCATAATGTCAGGCCCCACAATTGCTGCCATCTCTGTGGTGTTTGATCATGCTGAACAGGAAGAGGTATACCAAACATGTATGGATGGATTCTTGGCTATTGCTAAAATTTCAGCTTGCCATCATCTTGAAGATGTTCTTGATGATCTAGTAGTGTCTCTTTGTAAGTTCACTACACTTTTAAATCCATCATCAGTTGAGGAACCAGTCCTAGCCTTTGGAGATGACATGAAAGCTAGAATGGCAACTGTGACAGTTTTCACTATAGCAAACAGGTATGGTGATTACATCCGCACAGGTTGGAGAAATATTCTTGACTGTATCTTAAGACTGCACAAGCTTGGTCTTCTTCCTGCCCGTGTTGCCAGTGACACAGCTGATGAGTCAGAGCTTTCTGCTGAAACTGTGCATGGAAAACCTATTATGAATTCTTTATCCTCAGCTCATATGCAATCTATCGGCACTCCAAGGAGATCCTCAGGATTGATGGGTAGGTTTAGTCAACTTTTATCTCTTGATACCGAGGAACCAAGATCACAACCTACTGAGCAACAACTTGCTGCTCATCAACGCACCCTACAAACCATACAGAAATGTCATATTGACAGCATATTCACTGAGAGCAAGTTTCTGCAAGCTGAATCTTTATTGCAGCTAGCAAAAGCTCTTGTTTGGGCTGCAGGGAGACCGCAAAAAGGGAACAGCACACCTGAGGATGAAGATACAGCTGTTTTCTGCCTGGAGTTGCTGATTGCAATCACTTTGAATAATAGGGATAGAATTGGGATTATTTGGCAGGGTGTGTACGAACACATATCAAATATTGTTCAGTCAACTGTAATGCCCTGTGCCCTGGTAGAGAAGGCTGTTTTTGGACTACTGCGGATTTGCCAGCGGTTGCTTCCCTACAAGGAAAACATTGCCGATGAACTTCTGAGGTCATTGCAACTTGTCTTGAAGCTTGATGCCCGGGTTGCAGATGCATACTGTGAGCAGATTACTCAAGAAGTCAGTCGGCTTGTGAAGGCAAATGCTTCTCACATAAGATCTCAGTTAGGATGGCGTACAATTACATCACTACTTTCCATCACAGCTAGACACATAGAAGCATCTGAAGCTGGGTTTGATGCATTATTGTTCATAATGTCTGATGGTGCCCACTTGCTTCCAGCTAATTATGTTCTCTGTGTAGATACTGCCAGGCAGTTTGCTGAGTCTCGTGTTGGACAAGCAGAGCGTTCTGTGCGGGCACTAGACCTCATGGCAGGGTCCGTCAATTGCTTGGCTCGGTGGACTAGTGAGGCTAAGGAAGCAATGGAGGAGGAACAAGTGTCTAAGTTATCTCAGGATATTGGAGAGATGTGGTTGAGACTTGTACAAGGTCTAAGGAAGGTATGTTTAGACCAGCGAGAGGAGGTTAGAAATCATGCTTTATTATCCCTGCAGAAGTGCTTGACAGGGGCTGATGGCATTTATCTACCGTATAGCTTGTGGCTACAATGTTTTGATCTTGTGATCTTCACTGTGCTTGATGACCTGCTTGAGATTGCACAGGGACACTCTCAAAAGGACTACCGCAACATGGAAGGCACACTTATCTTAGCGATGAAGCTCTTGTCCAAAGTTTTTCTTCAACTACTCCCAGAATTATCACAATTGACAACCTTCTGTAAGCTATGGTTGGGTGTACTGAGCAGAATGGAAAAATACATGAAGGTGAAGGTTCGGGGGAAAAGAAGTGAGAAGCTTCAAGAGACAGTGCCTGAGCTGCTTAAAAACTCCTTGCTTGTTATGAAGATGAGGGGTATATTAGCGCAGAGGAGTGCCTTGGGTGGTGATAGTCTGTGGGAACTAACATGGCTACACGTGAATAACATTTCACCGTCTTTACAACTTGAGGTATTCCCTGAGCAGGATTCTGACCATTTGCAGCGCAAACAGGGTGAATCAATAGGAGGTTTGGTGCCTGATGATAAGGGTTCTGTCCCTTCAAATGAAACAGCAAGCCGTGAAGATGCTGGCATTGTTGGTTAATTAGAGTTTCTATGTTGCTGCTACCTGCATCGGTTTTTCTGTTTATAAATATACAGATGTTCCCTAACCTCAAAATACTGATTGTGCAGAATTTGTGGATCACATACGCTTCCTAATTTTGTTTGACCAGTTATAGGTGCAGAAGTAATACACGAGGGGAAGTATAGTTCGCAGGCAAGGACGTGCAAGTTGATCTAGTTAAATCTGTCACCTATCAGTTGCCATTTGCCATTTCTCGTTCCCCATAGAAGCTTCTTCGTTCCTGTATTTTTAGATGAAATATATTGTAGCTTGAGATAGATTTCTACCTTTCAGCAGGGTACTGTACGGCTTCCCTTTCTACCCATGGAGCTGCAGCAGGGATAGTAAGCTTAAATTTCCTATAAACTTTTATACGGAACCTCCATTTTCTCTTACTGCAGCATGCATATAATGGGTATGACGACAGATAGTACTGATTTGCAGGCTGAGTGTCTGTGTGATAAACCTTGAATCGTTTACGCGTGGCATTAAAATATTAATGTTGGGTTTGTGCCTTTGTATTTAGTATTTACATCCTGGTATTTTACCTTTTCTTCCGGGGCAAAATATTGATCCTTGACTTAAGGCATGCACACAGATTTGAGATTTGCACCATCCTAAAATTTGTGGACCAGCATCTTTCCTTCCTAGTTCTCGTATAATCGGATGTTAAACAATGGACCAAAGACTTATTCCTAACAGAATTAAATATATATATTATACGCTGGTGCTAGAGTGATTTCAGAAGTTAAACTGTTCGAAATAGTTCGGAGTGTCGTAACCTTCAACCTCAACTTATGGATGCAATAATAATTGACCACCACAGTTTCTTCGAAAAAAAAAAATCTACTGTTTTCTATTAACACTCGTTTGAGATTGTATCATGTAGGGAAGTTATTCACGGCGCTGCTTACGAGTCCTACCTCTTAAAACAATCAAGCATCCGTTAACATATGATAGCCAAGAGTAAGAGTGTCAATGACTTTGGGCAAACCAAATATTAAAAGTTCGGCCTTGCTAAAAAAGTGTTTTAATTTATTTGTTTAAATGAATTAAATCAACCATGTTTCTAAATACTATATTTCTAAATATATTATCAATTTAGTATATGACAATCTTGTTTGTAGTAAAAAATAAAATAAAAATTTAATGTAACACCTATAAATATAGCCTAAAAGAGTCAGATGATGATTTTTTTAAAAGGTTTAATGAGATTAATTTAAAATGTAACTTAAAAATTATAATTGGTTCGTAAATAGAAAATAGCTATAAAATTAAAATATTCAAGTAAATCAAGGAAGAAAATACCATTCTTTAGTCAATATATAAATGCACTACTGATTGCTCAAAAATTATTAATGTTAAACTTACAAATCATAACTTTAACTTACTTAAATATTTATACCTTATTTTAAGCTTAAATTTATTTGCTTAGTTAAATAATTAAACTTATCGGACATTTAATAAACCTAAACCAAATAATTAATGATGGCAAAAGAAAATTTGATCCTCCAATTGCAAAACACCCGACCTCCTAAAATAGTCTATAGTAGGTTTTTTAATAATAAAAAAAAAAGGTTTTTTATCACAATTGTGGTTATAAGGATCCATGATGGAGAGAGAGAGAGAGAAAGAGAGCCAAACAGTGCCAAAATATTGTAAGTTCTATCCGTCATTTTCACAGTTTTTGGCAGTTAAGGAAATTGGTAGTTTCAACGTGCACCACAAAGTGAATTTTTGGCAGTTTCTAACCATCATCCGTGTGGCAGTTAGAGTAGAAAAAACTGCAAAACAGAACAGGTATTATGTGATAAAAGTTGTTCTTGAATATCCAGCGTATAAAGTTAAACATTTACACTGCACAATGAATGGGGAAAGAAATACAACAATCAAGAAAAGAAATTATCTGGCCACAAAACAAGGCCTAATTCAGGTTACCGTCACCAAATCATAAAAGAAGAAAATAAACAGCACCTTACCTTCTCCCTCTTGAAACCTTTCTTCTAACAGGCAAAACTACATTCATTGGTGCTTTCTTATCCTTATCCTGAAACTGTCCCATAAAATCCATGATGTAGTTAGAGAAAAATAGAGAAACTGTTACGGACAATGATTTCACCATTGAACAATATGAAGTTCTTAATAGAGCACAAATGAGATTCGTCAGGTTTTATCCAGGACTAGGAGTCTGCATTCTCTGCAGTTCAGTTCTCAGAACCTGCACATGAAGGCTCACCAAAGTAAAATTGATACTTGAACAACATCAAAATAGACGGAGGAATCATCTTTTATCATTGCTGGTAAGGTGGTGGAAATTTCTAATGTGAAAAACATTCACGTCAGATTAGGAGGCATAAAGAGGGAAGCTATTCTTGTAGTCCATAAGAAACATGTACTTGCAGTGCATGATTGAAAAGTAAGCCCGATTATGAAAAATGGAGAAAAAAACGATACACATTTCTATAATATCTAGATATTTGAGGGCACACAAACAAGTGGAACATTTCCGGAGACATTTTTTTTATTTAAAGGTGAGACTGTATATGTATGTATATGAATATTTTGACAACTATGTATGTACAATAGTGGAAATACTAGAGGCCACACCTACAAGACTCACTTTAGTAATCTACTAACTATGCCGACCAAATAAAACAGCTGATTCCTATATAGTAATTGTTTCTTGAGGTCTGCACTTCCTAATCCTGATATGCATACTTCCATTGTTTATGCTTCCACCACCTAATAACTGGCAGCAATGCCTGCGCAATACCTGGTTAAGCACAGCCAAATCAAATAATCAATTTAACAACCATTTTAAAACTCCAAATATATATGGAATTCAATTCTATTCAAGCACATCATCATCATGAAAAGCTGATAAGTTCTAGATCCAAAGATGTTATTGTTTCAATTGTGCGTGTTGAGAGAAAGAGTAAGAGAGATACATTGTTCCAATATTCCGGGTCCAGCTTCAAGGCAGAAACTCTAATTCTTTCCACTTCCACATTATTAATGTCTGTTCTTGTGCATTTCCCTCCCTCGCCTTCATGTCTCTTGTAGATAGTGATACTTCCAGTTTTTCCCACCTCTTTAAACTCGTCCAGGAAAAACATAGCTGGCTTCTGGCACGGGTCAGAGCTCATTGGTCGAGTATTGAATGTGAATGGACCATCTTCCCAACTTCGCCAAGTCTTAAATGTCTGCAATGGCATCTGCAAGTCTACTGCTGTCAACAAGAGTGGATATATTTGTATTGTGTAACCCCACGAGATAGATATTGACCATCTACGCTTATGATCATAGCAAAAACATTGCTGCACTATCCGAGCGGGGTCAATGTCGTATGCACTGATGAGCTTTTCCAATGAGTGAATTTGAGTTTGGTTGGGAAACAATGAGTTCAATTGGTCAAGATGATGGAGTGATACAAGTGGTACCAAGGGATGTGCAGCTAGAAAACCATATGGGTTCCCTCTTATGTCAAGCTGAAAGAAAAAGGACAATAGTAAACAAAAATTATTATGCATGGACAAGTTCAAAGATTTTGCATCCAATCTGAATTCAAAACATTTGAAACATAAAAGATGATATTGTGTTCATTCATTATAACAATCAAAAGATTAGCATTACATCTAGGTTAAAAGTACTGAGTTTAATTCATGCACTAGCAGTGATAAGGATTTCTATACTGTCAATCAGTCACAGATCTTGCTAAAAATGACTTTAGATGAAAAATTCCTATTGGTTTGCAATTTAAAATCCCTGTACACCGAGTGCATGTTCTCTATTTACTACTGCTAAACTTCCAAAATTTGTAGTACATAGATTTCAAGCAGGAGGGGAGTAAATGGAGATTGACCAATTATGCCTATTAGTGTATAGTTTGTACCAAAATGTACATAAATGTAACTAGTGGAAAAAGAATATACCTGGTGGAATCCACCTTCTCTGGTAAGAGGCACCCCAATTTCATTCACACAGGCCCAAACCCTTTGATCAGAACCATAAAAATAGAAGTATCTACTTAGACAACCATCCATCATTTTGGCCAGATGAGCTGCTAATGCATAACTGATGGCAATTCCACCACCACCAAATGCCATGTCATAAGAATGCATCACATCTTGCTCAACACTCTCAGAACTCCCACCAATATAATACATTTGATTGTGGTTATATTTTCCCAACACATTAACTAAGTTCTTAGTAAAGAACACAGTATCATCATCTCCCATTACAAACCACCTAACATTTGGTAAACCAAGCTTAAAGCTCTCATAAACTATCCGAGCTATCCGAACTGCAGAAGCTGAGTGCACATACTTGAACCGTTTCCAGCCCTGTGAGATTTGATATGGCACTAACATGTCAGCCTGCAAAATCTCAGGCTTCTTGTCAAGCCAAACAAAACCTCTTGTGGTGTTTGGATTCCACCACAGTTTACTGTAGTTGCTACGCTCATGCCAAGTGTTAGCTGATCCACCAATGCCAAACAGAATATGTGAGATATTTGTTGGTCCACTGTCAATGACAGAAGTATTATTCTGGACTGTATGTATGTGCTCCGGTAATGGGAACCATCGATCTGGTTTAGCAAATGCTGAGTGGAGAGCGAATGATATGGATGCAACAAGGCACACAAGAATGCCAAACCTTATAAAGACAGTAACCATATCACCAACTCTTTCGGGGACAAAAGAGAGTCTGGATGCTTTATGAGGGGATTCATAGCCAAGTTCCAAGCGAGAGTGACTCGTTTTCTCCTTCCTGCTACATTTCATATAACTCATTAGACATGAATCCTATTCCTAACAAATCATAGAACTTTCAATTGATAAAAGTCACTACATGAAACAATTCCATTAAGGATGATCTAGTCAAAAAAGGGTGTTTGCTTTTTTTCCATCTATGAAATCTCGTTTGCTCAGAAAAATAAAAGTAAACCAACAAGTGGATACCCCAATAGTTTCCTTAACCCTGGAGACTTTCTATAAACCATAAATTATTTTTATGTGCTAAAAGATTTAAAGATCAAAAACATTATCCATCATAAGCCGAACTATAAGGTCTTTTTCTAAATCAATTATTTTCATACACCTAATTCATCATACGTATAAAGTAAAAGATGTCTAACTTTGATAATTATTTCAGACCTATGACATCTCAAAATTGCTCAATTATATTGCGAATCAAATATCATCCTTTTCAACTAAAGATTTAATATTATTTTTTCTATATTAAACTTTTTCATACGATGTTCAACTTATTACTTAAGAGCACTTATGACCCTTTTAACCTTCTTAACTTCAAAATAAAAAACAAAAAATTATGCGTTGTTAAATAGTACCTAATATCATAACTAATTAAAATCCATTACTATAATAAATCTCCAGGAAGTTGACTTGAGAGGAAATTTAATCTTAAATTTTTTTTTTTGGTTATCTTATTTTATATATTTTCCGATGAAAATTGCTAAATTGTTCAAATAATATAAAAATTCAACTGTATTTTAGTGCAAAAAAAATCTTGGGGATAAGACAGAGTAAGTAATATATCTTTTGGGGTTAACATAACACGAAAATTTTATTAAAATGTATTTTTCAGATATAAGTACAAAAGTAAATAATAAAAATAATTATTTTATCACCGTACAATATCAGTTTTTTAATCTTTCAATAATGACACTGTTAGTAATATTACCATTTTTGCATCATCATGATTCACATCAAATGCATTTCCTTTAAAAGATAAAGTTAGATCAACCAACTCATTGGTTTCTGCTTAAATCAATTCAAGTAACTCGATCAAAGACACAGAACAAATTATTTTGCATCATCATAATTCACACCATCTACCCCTTAGAAGCAAAAAAGAACTCAAAGCATTTCAGGGAATTATGTTCTTAAAGGCTGCACAGCAAGAAGAGTATAATGAAATGAAACATGTTTAAGGATCAAATTGCAACACTTCTTTTCCTTTTGGAAAGAAGCTAGTGATAATGGAATGATGATTTATTGTCGTTATCTTCAAAAATAGACATGGTAGAGAGAGAAAGATAAATAAATTCCAAGAATTACGGAAAACAGAACAGAAAATACTTTCAAAACACTGCATACCTCGGTTTAGAATCCAATTGGAACACATGTTTTCCTTTTGTTTGGTTATACGATTCTGCTACTCCCCTTAGCATCAAGTGATGATTTTTGTTAACCGCAACCAGTTCTGGCTCTTATTACTGAACAACTCTCTGCAATGAAACACAAAAAAAAAAATTCTCACAAAATTATAAACATAAAGTTATAACTTCAACATGGAAGGATGAAGATAGCGATGACCCAGATGAACAATGGAAGGAAAATAATGATGATGAACATTCAGAAAGAAAATTAAAAGAATTGGTGAGCAGAAATTTTGATCATACAGAAGAGGGTAGGTTCCTAGTCATTCAGCAGAAATCCTTCTTCTTCCTTTTTTTTTTTTTCTTTGCTGTTGGTTTTTATATGATGCAGAATCCTCAGACTATGTCTGAGATCATGATTCGCTGTTCACATTGCATATAAAGAAGAAAATTGTACGTTTACAGAGAAGACGAGAGGGAATGAGTCAATTTTTTGTTGGCACCTTGAGGGGTCAGTTATGGAACACAATGGTCATGTGTCATAATATGCTGTCTTGCATCATCATGCACTCGTACTGATGATACACACACCAATAGAAATCTGTTTCAAAAGGTTGTTCTTCTACTTCTCTATTCTTTTTATTATTATTTTTTTAGAATAAATATATTTTTATTGAAAAGTTAAAAGTTGTATTTCCACCACTAAATATATGGAATATATTCTAATAAATAAAAAAAGTTGTTTCGCGCATTAGCCGTGGTAATCAAATGTCAATTTGAAATTTTACCTGAAAGTTAATCGTAATAATTTTAAACAAAAGTTATAATCATAATTAATATATTTATCATTTTGTTTTCAAATTTACGTTACCAAAAGATTTTATATTACATTTTTTTCCAAAAATATTTATTTACATGTTTTTAGTTTTTCTTTTTATTTTACCTACAAGACAGAGAATATATTCTGTCACCATTTTTGTTAATGGTAAAGAAATAAATCTTAATTAGTTATACTACTAAAAATTCTTATTTTTTATGGAAATATTTTTATAAATTTTTTATAAAAATTACAAGAAATAAATCTTTTATAAATTTAAATAATTTCTTATAAGAAAATTGACAAAAAAAAAAAACTAGTTTTCTAATGATAGTGTTAAGAGTGTTCAACTTTTGATACTATAAAATTTTATATATCTATATTAATCAATATCTGAAGATGACACTATTTTCATAATTATTTTGTTATACACTTTTTTTATAATTTTATTTTTATTTTTTGTAGTTTTTGTGGTGAATGATTTTATTTTAGTATTTATTTTTGTTTTTCTGTGATTGAAATAATTACTTTGATTACGTAAAAATGTAAAATAATGCACGTCTTTCTACGTAGAAATTAAAGACTTAATTGATAAGAAACATGCAAAGAAATGTTTACTTGGAAGAGTCATTGAAAATCAAAGTGGCACGTGGCTTCATAAAAACATGACACAAGGAGCAGGGCCCACACTGAGTGAGCGTGACGGTCGAGGCAAACTCATTTAACTTGCGGGTCAAAATATATGAAAACTAAAATATTGTACGTGGTTTTTTCTTCTTCAACTTATCATCATATTAAAATATATATATATATATATATATATATATATATATATATATATATATATATATATAGTATAAAAATAGAATCAAAAGATAAAATAAGCTTTTTTTCTCTGTTTTTTTTAAGGAATGAATGAAAAAAGAAAAAAATATAAATTGGATTTTATATCTACTAAAAATATATTTTTCATTAATTTTTTTAACAAAAAAAAGTATTTATTATTATTAATATTACTAAAAATATATAATTTTAAGAAAATTTTCATGTATATCATTGCTAAAATGGGAATAAATAAAATCTAGATAATTCACTATTGAGATACGGTTTTTCTTTTAGTTCTAGACAATTCAAAATTTGAGACTATTTAATCTTGGTTTAATTTAGTTTGTAAAACTTATTTTGTAGTAGATTTATTCTTATTTTTCATAATATTATTTTCTACAATTTTATATTTACGTCCATTATTCTTAAAAAATGTGCGAGACAAATTTCTTATTACTGAACTTATACATTAATTCACTATTTTCAAAGGTGTATTCAATTAAAATTTCAGAAAACTTTTTAAGATACAAATAAATTACGTAGAATTTGATGAATTTAAAATAATGTATTAATAATTTAAATATTAAAAATATAATATTATTATGAATTTATAATATTTGAAAGGAATTTTGTGAAATTACAAGGGTTTCATGCATAATCATAATTATTGTGTATTTTTACCTTTTATGATAAAATATATATTTATTTGTTATTCTATTATTCAATATTATGTGAATCTAAGTACATTTTAATGATAATTAGTGTTCATATTACGACATTAAAAATAATAAGTATTTTTGCCAATTATCATATTATATAAAATTTTAAAGATTTAGGGAGAGAAAATAAAATAAGTATAAAAGAAGGTACATGCTCAACAATGTATTGTCCTAGAAAAAAAATTACATTCATGAAAAAAATTAAAACAAATACATACTCAATACGAAAGATAACAAATAAACGATAAGGGTAAATTAAAATATATAAAATCAATACAAAATATAATAATTTATTGATTCTATTTTATTTTGTCCTATATAATATCTATTCATGTATTTAAAACAGTCTTTCATGCATTAACAACATTTTCTTATTTTCGCTTATGTGGGGTATGTATCAACAATATGTTTAACGTTGTGGTTCTCGTATATAGGTATAACTACGAATATTAAGATTCCTCTGATTTAATAAGAAATTTATCAGAGTAATAAAATAGCAAAAATAATATAGGTATAAATCTATACTGGTGCTTGCACCACTAATTTATTCAAATATTATAAAATAATTTTGTTGATTTTTATTTTATAATATTTGTAAAACATTTATAAATACTCGTTGAAAACAAGTTATGTTATAGAGGAATGTTAAGCCTCTTAAACTTGTCTGTTTATATAATAAAATTACATTATTTGTATAATCATTAATATTGATAATGAGTATTGTGATGAAAGAGAATAACGTAATTTTGAAGTTTTTAAAGTATTAGACGTATTAATTTGAGATTACAAGAATTAATAAAAAAAATTAGATTTGGAGAGAAGAAAGAAAGAGTGAGAAGAAGGAGCGTGGCGTGGCATGGAAGAAATCATATTTCACACAATATATATTTAAAAAGAAAAAAATTGTCTTTTTTCTCCGCTCCCTTCGATGAATACGGAGTAAGTAACATTCAATTCATGTTCATGTCATCCATCCATTGCAACCACATCTTCCATGTAATAAATTATAATAAACACGTCAATTCTTTCCATTCAATGGCTTCGTTGGAGTTGGGTTTAAGTTGTTGTTTGACTTGACAATTTGGTCACTGCATTTAATTTCCATTAATAAGAATGATTAGGAATAAAATTATATATTTTATTATAAATTTTATAATTAAATTATTTAAAATTTTATTAAAATTATTTATAAATAAGACTTATAATAAAATATTTTTTTTTATTTTTAATTAATTTTTAGGAACAATTCTTTATAGATATGTTTTATCATAATTAAAGACATATTTTATTTTAATGTGATTTCAATAATGA